CCCCAAAACCCCAAAACCCCAAAACCCCAAAACCCCAAAACCCCAAAACCCCTAGCAGGCACAATAGGGTTGAGACAAAATTTTGTACCAGAAAAAGTGGGCATTGAGAATATTTTGCAAATTTAATTAAATTTGATCTTAGACAGATGTTTGTTCTGCATCCTCTCGCTCTGGAATTCTAGTTTCTTTAGAGACCTCTGCTTTGCAGGGGTTTCGAAATTCTTCATAGAGTCATTGCAGAAGGTATTTAGGATGAAAGAATACTTGGTAAATTGCTTTCTTGACACCATCACTTCATACTCTATCAGGTTCAAAAAGGTCTTTTCAAGACGTGAGATCTCTCTGAGAGGAATATCTTTGTAAACTTGAGCAAAATGTTCGTTTTCAAAAGAATCGTCATCCCAGATTTTGGAAGCTACACAAAGAGTAATGAGTACGATTCTTTTCCAGTTGTTTTCATTGATAAGGATGCCAGTCTTCTTCATGAGTTTTTCCATATAGACAAGAGCCATGATTGGAATCTCGCTCTCCATCTTGGCAAGATTTGTAAGCTGCTTAATTGTATTGAAAATTTGTTCAAAGCTTGATGGGGTAGTGTCTAAACTTTCTTTCTTAAATTCATCTGTATTAATGTCATAATTTCTATCAAATCTTCTCATTTCTTCCTCAGTATATTTCTTCAAAGAGCCACAAGCTGGGTTAATTTTGTAAGCACTCTCATAGCGAGAAAATGCTCTTATGGGTTCTGGAGATGGTTCATTTGGGTCATAGTCTGACTCAGACTGTCTATTGAAACAAAGATTCATCTTTAGTCAGCCATCAGGAGATGATTCACTTTCGTCACTCTGGCTGGCAGGAGTATCTGCAGATTTCATCAACATATTTGGGTTGTTTGCTATATCCTTTTCTTTCTGCTGTCTTCTTCTTTTCATTCCAATATCTGGAGATCAAGGAGCAAGGGGGAGGTCTTTCTCTTCAGATTCATGATTCATCCTTGGATTCATCTGTGGAGTACTTTCTTCAGACCTTTGCTCGCTCTGAAGCCTAGCTCTTTTAGGTCTGAAGACGCTAGATTGCTCTTTTTCTGCATTAGATTGGCCACAGATTGACCTGAGGTTGAACACATTTCCTCCTGTCCTCTGGCTGGACACAATGCTTGGTGAAGAATGAGAAGCTCTTAAGAAATTGATTTGTTTCAAAGGAGAATTCTCCCTTTCCTCTTCATCATCGATGCTCATTTGTTTGCTGTCAGTAAGCTCTTCAACAATAATACCTTTGATAGTGTTCCTAGGCTCTTTATCCTCACTGTTAAATGTGAAAGTATTCTTGATATTATCGTTTCTGCGAGGAGAGCTACTTTCAGAGAGATTCAGCTTGATCACTTCATTATTTTTCGAGGAATCTTCCTTACATTCAAAAGTTAGTTCCTTCCTTAGTCCTTCAAGGGACTCCATCTTATCATCAAGATAGTCTGGCTTGACTAGAGAACCGTCAAATTTGAGATTTGAGTTGAAACAGTAGTTGAATTTGAGGATATTTTGAGAAGGAGTTAGTTCAATTTTATTTTGGATATTATTCATGTTCTTTTTAGCACTCTCAATAACCTCTCTGTCTCTCACTACTTTTGCTAGATCTTCCAGAAATAGCATGCCTCTTGAGAATTTTACGTGTCTGAGGACAACCTGAGCGAGGGCAAAGCACGCTTTGTGCATGTCTGAATAAATCGGAATCAAGGTGTTAGATTTAAGCTCCATCTTCGAGTCAGTATTTTGGAAGTCATTACGAATAGGGATTTCCTTAATTGGAGTGCGTTGGGAGGAAGGAGTTGTGATTTCAGTCTTCTGTATTTTCTCTGAGACCTCAGATTTTTCTGCCGAGTCTGCTTTCTCCACAACCTCTGTATCAAACACCTCATATGAGTTCTGGGGTGCCATCTTGAAGGAAGCCCTTGGGGGTTCAAGGAAAGCCTGGCAATGGGATTTAGGCGAATGGTTGCTGTTCCTACTTGTTTATGAAGAGACTTACAAATATTTGCTAGTGTCTGAGCTCACTTTTTGAGCGGAGATATTCGACCTGTTTAGATTATGACAGGTATTTTGGGTTATATGAGCTAGAGTAAAGAAGGAAGCGTACATATTGAGTACTTTTTGAGACGAGGGTCAATTTGGGTCTGCTTTGTGAAGAGCGAGAGGACGGTCTTGTTCCTGACACGGTCGTCTTCAATCTTGCGGGAGTCTGTGTAATCGAAGGGGCGCTGGAGATTTTTAGAGAAGTTGTTGTGCTGACTGAAGGTTAGTGGGAAATTACATGTTTTTGGGAGGTTCTGCACGACTATTGCTGTGACTGCTGCTCCTTAGGGGCTTGAATTTCCTGTTTCTTGCATTGGATTTTGTATTGATACTAGATTAATTTAATATAACCAAGAGTATACACATCAGAAAAATAAAGTAGTACAATAAATATTCAAACTTACTTCTTTATAAATCGATTTCTCTGCTTCTGAAACCCTCCTTCTAGCAGCTTTCCTAGCTTGGAAATACTAAGTCCAGCGGATGACTATATTGATAAAATCAGTGTACCTTCCTGATGCCTACTCTTCCATCAATGATCTTATCCTTCTCAATCTTGGCAAAGAGGTCATTCTTTGGTTGTGAGACTTCTGGGGCCACTCTCCTTCTCTGGTTATTCTAAAGATATGAGTAAGGACACCAAACTTGCTTTAAAACTAATTCTTAAAGCATTTTAGGGAATTTTAGGCAAGCAGAAAGTGTATTTTGGTTCCTTACATTAGTGACGATGGGCCAAGCGTTCGCATGATTAAAATTTTCTTTATTTTCACTGGTAAATTTGGAGTAAAATTCTACATAATTAGGTACGAATCTACCATCTCGAGGGAGCATTTTCTGGAGTTTTGAAAACATTCTCATAAATCTTGAATTATGGCCAGGAAGAGGATTCAGAGTATTAATAAATTTTCTCCTATTTTGGATTCTGAGTAAGTGGATTTGGGGATCAGAATCAGAAAAGCCAAGAGACAAGAATTTATTGTAGTATTGCTCCAAATTAAAGTGCTTTAGGAGAGAGAATAATCCTGAACTTGGAATCTGCTGAGTAATCTTAGTCGAAATTGGCGTTACTAGTTTAGTTTGAGGCAACCCTACACATTATAGTAAATTCTTACCAATACTTTCGTTATTTTGACTGATTGTAGATCTTTGGAGCATGACTTCCTCTACTAATAGCTGTTAATAGCTTTGGTCCTCTATTGGCTCATCTCTTAGAGAAGTTATTCTTGGTCTCATTTCCTCTCATCGCCTGAAAAATAAGTGTTCGTCTTGCACAGCTATTATTGGTCTTTCTTTGGGATGGGTGAAGGGATACTATCTTGAGATCTTTTCCCTTCCTACAAATATTAGGGATGATAACTTACCTAGGAAGACTCCTAACCTTTCTTTTCTTAGTGCGATACTTTATCCCACAAGTGAGTCTTGAGAAGTCCATTATGAATTTTAAATTAAGAATTATTTAAATTTCGGAATTTTGAAATCCAACTCTCTGCGGGACTATTGGGGTTTTGGGGTTTTGGGGTTTTGGGGTTTTGGGG